AAAAAGAAAAAAAAAAGTTTAAAATGCTGTAGCAACGATGTAGCTTGAAAATGTGAAGGGGCATAAGAGTGGACCCTTCTGCACGATTAGTGGTCCATCAATGGGATGTGATGGGGTCCGCTAACCTCGGGGTGTGCCTCCTTCCTGAGCGCTAGTATGGCCAGAGAACTGACCTAGGTTTTCAGTTCTGTTCAGAGCACAAATATTTACCTCCTACATTAGGAGCACCCAGACTGGGCTGAAATTTGCAAGCTTCCTGCATCAGCCTCCCTTTCTGTGGGAGAATTTCTCGAGGGGTGCTTCTTTGCTTCTGGCTGCTCTGCACTTTGATCCTACCCAGAGCTGCTGATCTCCCGAGGTCCCCAGCAGATTGGGAAGGGTCCTGTCCCACGTGGTGGGCCGTGGAGGCGCCCAGGCCCATCCCTGACTGCAGCCGGGTGCCTCCCCTCCCCCACCTTTGTGGTCTACCAGACTACAAGCTGCTGTAGACTCCCCCACTCCCCTGGGGCTGTCCCTTTGTGACCTCAGGCAGTTTGCGGCACAGAGTTGCCTGAGGCGGGGGGGGGCAGTTTAGGGAGCCTGGCCCGGGCTTTTCTGCCTGGAGGTCCTGGGGTGCACGGCTGGAAAGCCCGTGCTGGCCCCAGAGGAGGGGAGGGGTATGGGACTGGCCCGACTCCCGGCCGTGAACCCGAGCCCTCCCTTCTGACAAAAGCTGGCGAGGGGCCGCACAGGTCAGAGGACGCGCACTCTGATCGCAGCCGGGGCTGCTAATCATGGCTCAGCCCCACAAGCGACACTAGGAATCGAGCACCTGGACGCCCGCCCGTTCAAAACAGCAGCGAACCGCATCCTGCGTCCACGGCCTTGCTGTCTCGCTCTTAAAACCGGATCACAGAGACAGCTCTAGAGAGAATGAAAAGAGTAGAGCCGCACTTTTTAAACGGCCAGTTAGCACTTCATTTTATTTATCCGCCGTTTTTGTGCGTGTGGTACTACTGGGGATTGAACCCAGGGCCTTACACTGAGCTACCTCCCCACTTCGCTTTTTATTTTTTATTTTAAGACAGTCTTGCTAAATTGTCCAGGCCGGGCTGGGTTGAGCTGATTTTAAACTCCCCATCCTCCTGCCTCTGCCTCCAGCCCCCAGATTACAGGCGTAAGAATATTTTTCCGGCTGCTGCACATTGGGTGCTGGTCATAATTTTGCCTTTCACGTGCTTCCTTAACCGACAAATCTTATCGTTGTCTGTTAATACACTTCCGGAGACCCCACATGGAGACTAGCAGGTCTCTCCCTCTGATGTGTAGGGTTCCTCGGCCTCAGTTACACCACTCGTCCGGGAGGAGCACGTCCCGCCCTGAGGCAGCCTCGCAGCGGGCGAGTCTGGCCTCGCTCGGCCTGGCTGCGGCGCAGTGCAGGCCTGCGGTGTGCGGCGAGACACCTTTCTTGGCAGGGGCTGCCCAGGCTCCCGGAATGTCTGATTACTCACTGGGTTGCGCCAGCGCGGCGAGCTCCAGGAGAATCAGGGGAGGCAGCGGGAAGCTTCCTTCCCGATGACCTCAGCCTGCTGGGTGAGTAATGGAGCCGCACCGGCAGAACTGGGTGGTCGGGTGCGGTTGGGGCGTTGGGGAGGCCGTCAGGGAGGGCGTGGGGTGCGAGTTTGCCCCCCTGTCCTGCTGCAGAGAACGATACGCTCCTCTCAGGGGCCGGCGCCACGGCCTCTGAACTGGCTTTTGGTTTTCTGAGACGGGGTCTCGCTATGTAGTCCAGGCTGGTCTCGAACTCACAACGTGGCCCAGGCTGTTCTCAGACTCACAGCGACCCTCCCAGGTGTGCTTGCAGCCCGGGCCTGTGCTGTGCTGAGGTCTCCAGCAGCTCCTGGAAAGAGCCAGAGGGAGTCTCGGCCATCACTGGCACCGCGGCAGAGTCCCTTGTGGTGCGCACCCAAGTCCTGACCACGTGCGGTCCTGCTGTGTCCTCCCTGGCACCCAGCTCCTTGCTGCCGGCTGCTCCCTCTGCAGGGACATGCGAGTCGGTCCTCTCTGCAGCGCCATTCTGGGCTCTGATCACTCTGAGTGTGTGCCAGGCCACCATCCTGCTTCCTGCCTGGGTACGCCTGGAGCTGCTTTCCCTGCCTGCTCCCATGTGAGGGTTCTCAACGTTTCCGGTATTCCCACCCCACTTCCTTCTCAGCGCAGTGGGCTCACGTGGTTTCTGGACCAGGAGAGACTCAGCCTGGAACGTGAGGCTCCGCTCAGAATGGGCCTTGACTGTAGAGTGTTATCCAGGCCTGAACCTTAAAATCTAAAATGGCGTTTGCCCTTGTGACCTGGATCAGCCTCTCCATCCTCAACCAATTCCCCCTCTCCTCTTCTTCTTCCTCTTCCCTTCCCTCCCCCTCCCTCTCCTTCACCTTCTTCTGATCTAGTTTGGTTAGTTGAGAGTGGTCTAGGACCCACTATGTAGTCCAGGCTGGCCTGGAACTTGCAGCAATCCTCCTGCCTCAGCCTCCCAAGTGCTGGGATTTCAGGCCTGTGACACCAAGCCCAGCTGCAGTCACTCTCTGGGACATAGCCTGTCACCTTTGGATGGAGGGCCTCAAAAATTCATTGGTGGGGCCAGAGATTTAGCTTAGTGGTTCTACTGTCTGCCTCAAGTGAAAGGTCCTGAGTTCGAGTCCCGATACCAAAAGAAAAAAGGAAAATTCATTATGGGTAAGGGGCCCTGTGGCTCATTAGCTTGTACACCAGAGTGCGAGTAGAGCTGTCACTAAGGAAGTCATCTCTCCTTCTCCCTCTTTATTTTCTTTATCTGGTACTGGACTGAACCCAGGGCCTTCACTCTGAGCTACGTCTCTATCCCATTTTACTTTGAGACAGGCTCTTGCCAAGTCACTAAGTTGCTCAGGTTGGGCTGGAACTCACAATCCTCCTGCCACGGCCTCCAGAGTGCTGGGATTACAGATGTGTGCCCGCACCTGGTTTATAGAGAAATCATCTCAAGAGAAAGTCTCTAGAAATCCACATCAAGTCGCCTTGCTTGGCGTTTCTCCAGGAATTCCCCTGACAAGTGCGGCCGGAGAGAAGGACCGCGGTGGGAGGGAGAGAAAGATCTCCCCAGTACCAGGTGGAGAGGCCTTCTCCCTCTTCAGAACTGGGTACCACCTGGCTTGGCGTAGGGCCCAGGTCAGGTGCCCCCCAGTGCCCCTCTCAGTCTCCAGCCCAGGGCCCCTTTCCCACTTCCTGTCCCCACCTCCAGGCCCGGGACAAGGCTCCGCCCACCCAGGCCCAGGGGGCACAGGCTCCGCCTGTCAGAGCAGAGATAAGGCCTTTGCCGAACAGAACCAACAGGAGGAAAGAAGGCGCCTTGGAGATTCGGAGAGAGCTTTCTTTTCTGTGCTGTTCTCCACCCTTCCCCTACTTGCTGGTTGTGCTTTTTACACCAAGTCATTGAAATCGCAGGGCCTGAGTGGTATTTTGCTCTTTGCCAGGCAACTCTGACAAAAACTTCTTCATACTTTGGTCCGGATGGGAGGGAAGTGAGGGGGAATAAAAAGCTCTAATCCTCTAAAATGAGGATTTTCTGAACACAGACCTGCGGACGTTGGGCCTGTTGAGCTCCGAGCCGCTGTCTGTACTTGAGGGCCGGTAGCGCCCCGTGTTCCATGGTGGGGAGGACAGGACAACTTCCTGAGCCCTGGCCAGCCCGCCTCGCCCCAGGAGTTTGGACCAACCTCTAGGAACGGCAAGGAGAAGTCAGCGCGTCCTCAGGCCCTGCTGGCCAAAACCCCTCCCTGCCAACCTCAGAGCAACGGCAGTGGGCTCACGTGGCAGGGACCTGGGAGAACCGTGTGGTGGGTGGGTGGGGAGAGCGGGTCCTTCCTAGGGCCACGAAATAACCCCCACGTACCTCACTAGGTCTTGCAGGCCCTCCTGAGTTGGATCTGCTATCGCTGTGCAGTGAATCCCAGCTCTGCAGGAAAGAGACTCCGGGTGACGAGCCTGGGCTATGTGCGGACATCTGTCCTAAGATACAAGCGAAACATTGATACCAGGGGAAAATGACAGCATTTTCTACTGCACCTGCAGCTGTAGAGATGACTCATTTTAGCCGGGTGTGGTAGCACATGCCTGCTGTTTTAGCACTTGCGGGGAGGCTGAGGCAGGAGGATTGCCACCACATTCAAGGCCAACCTGGGCTACATACAGAATCCAAGGCCAGCCTGAACTACATAGTGAGACTGTATGAGAAAGAAAGAAAGAAAGAAAGAGGAGCTATTTTAATTTAGTTTTTGTTTATTTCCTACCTCTGATCCTTTGCCTAATAAAAGGAAAGGCTGGAAACAGAATGGAAGGTGACATGGTCTAAATGACTAGGAGTAGTTGGTTTAGGAACAGGGTTTTATTGTGGTTGAAGAACCACTGATGGCTGCTAAGTGTGAGGGTCAAATAACATAATGGTTACAATTATACTTTGTATATTATAAATTAGTAAACACCTTTAAAATGGTATTTTTTTCCTTGAGAACTGTAGCTTGAAAATGCTAATGGTGCCTTTACTTTATCGATCATGTACTATATTCGAGGCACTAAGGCCCTAATGCCTATAACAACCAACTAGGTTGTGGGCTTGATGAGAGAGGGGCTTGGGCTAATTTGCTGCTGTATTCCTGGGGCATAGAAGAGCGAAGGTTGGATAGGAGGTCTTCCATGCGTGTTTTGTAAAGTTTGAACTTGATTTCTAATCCTGTCTCCTAGGGTATTAACTTTGTCATACAGCGGGTAGTAGGGGTGTCAGAAAGTTTGGGGACCCACTCCAGGCTTCCCCCCTGGCTCAGCCACTTTTCCACATGGCTCGGGTGGCCTGGGGCTGGGTTTGTCATAGTTACCCGGTAGGAGGCTGGCTGCTGTGCCAGGGCCATGCAGGAGCCCAGGGCAAAGGGCCAGGCCCAGGCGGCTTCCCCCACCGGCTACAAAGCAGTGTGGCTCGTCCTCCACAGGGGCCAGTTGGTCTCGTCCCCCAGGCCTGGCTGAGGACTCTGAGGCGACTTGCTGGGTGGTTTGCCATGTCTGATACAATCAGGAAGAGTGGTTTTTGAGATTCCTGGGGGCATCAGTACTCCTGGTTGTTCAGTGGCCCGAGTCCCCCAGCCCCGGAGAGCCTCCCTGTGACAGCCAGTGGCCCTTCATGCAGCACAGATGTTTTCCAGACGTGCAGAATCGCATCACTAGTGACCTGGCTGCGGACCTGACCAGGGATTTGAGAGTTGCCCAGAAGCCGGGGCCTTGGGCCCCTCCCGGGCAGCTGTTCCCAGGGTTGGCCGAGTGTCCCCTTGAGCTGGGCTCCTTCCTGCCCCCAGCCCCATGCTGGCCCCTCCTGTCCTAGGCTTTCCCACCAGCCGGGTCCAGAACAGATGGAAACAGATCTCTTGTGCTTGGCCAGCTGATGTGGATTTCACAGCGGGCGGAAGAGGGAGAGGGGAGCAGAGAGCCCAGCCCCTTCCCGCAGCCTCTTGGGAGCCCACACTGGCTGTCCAGCTGTTCATCCTCACCCTTTGCCGGGGGCCGGGGCTTGGTGCGGGGATCCATTGCAGAGGGTGGAGGAGGCCAGAAGCTAGAAATGTGCAATGCTGCAGTTCCTCACAGTCTTAAAGTGGAGCTCCAAGGAGCCTCATGTTCGGCAGCCCTGCGGAAAAGGCTGACTGCTCCTAGCTGCCCCTCCCTTCCCTCTTCCGGCTCTCGGGCTTCTCTGCCCTTCATTCCGTGTCTGCCCCATTTCTGCACGACCGTGGCCCCCTGGTCCCCTCAGCCCGGCTCTGGGTGCCTCTTGCTCCAGAGAGCGGCCCCCCCCACCCCCCAGCCTGGTAACCAGCTCTGACCTCTCCTGTGGCCTCCGCTGCCATTGCTCAGGCGGAAGCCGTGGCTTCACATCTGGGCACACATTCCTGCAGGACGTGGTCATTCCTGCTACAGTGTTGGGTCCTTTTCAGAGCAGGGACCGACTCTTTCTTGAATCCACCATCCCTGTGGAGGCGCTTTGTGAAGTATTTTTGGAGTTCTGCTTCTTTCTTTTGTGGGTGCATGCCACGCAACTGATAACCCATACTATTCTTCCGAAGACCCTGTCTTAGCCGTCAGTTCAGGCTGCTTAACAGCATAGACTGACTCACTCACACCACAAACCTCCCTTTCTGTCAGTTCTGGAGAGCAGGAAGGCCAAGGCCAAGGTGGGAACCAAGGCGAGGTCTGGTTGGGGCCGCCATCTTGCTACATCCTGACAGCAGAGAGAGGGGCTCTGGCTGCTTCCTCTTCTTCTGAGGGTACTAATCCCATCCACCCTCGCGACCCCATCTACACCTCATGACACCCCAAAACCCCTGCAGGTGCCTTCACACTGGGATTAGGCTTCAGTGTGTGAGAGGGCCCCAAGCATTGAGTGGACACAAAATCCTATGTTGTAATCCTGGCCACCTCTGAATTCGGTGCTGAGGATTCTGTTCAGAGCCACCCTCCTTTGATGGCCCTGTGCGACAGGCATTAGGCTGGGGGCTGGAGAGAGGAATTCAGTGCTGGGTGAAGCTGAAAAGTCTCTCACACCTGTTAGCTGGCTTGTCTATTATCTTATGTGGATTTGCAAGGCTTTCTCCTGTTCTCCACTACGCAGACGTTTAAGTGAATTAAAATATAGGAACACAGTAAGTTCAGTTTTCTAGTCACATCAGCCACACTTCAGGTGCTCAGAAGCCACCTCGTCACCCTAGGGCTGGAAATAGTTGCTCCTTTAGTCCCTTAAGCCACCGTGACAACAAATGGAAAGGGAATGGAAAGCCCATAAGAGGCTGTGGTCAAGAGGCCCATGGGCCAGTGCTCTCTCGTACCTCACAGGTCCTGTCTTTACCCACATGGGCTCCTTGCCTGGCAACCTCACCTTGGTTAGGGTGGCAAAGGCAGCCAGGGTGTGAGAGAGCCACTTTCCCGAGTTTGCCTGGTGCCTTCAAACACAGCACCAAACTGGCAAGTCGGAGGGAACATTATGTCAAGAGCGTCAGCCGAGTTCTACACACACTGTGACATCACGTGCTTTTATGGCAGGTTTCTGGTCCACAGGTGCGATCCCTTTCACACGTGCTAGGTTCTTGCAGCGCAGGGGAACTCAGTGGGTGCCATAGCCCCTGCACCTGACAGAGCATTTGGGAGCCTCCCAGGAGCCCACGTGAGTGTGCGTGTCACACCTTTCCAGCACCAGGAAGGACGTGTCACTTGTGTCTGCGTATTCGTGGGCCACATGGGCAGGTGACCCAGAGCAGTCACGAGGCACCTAGGGCCAGAGTTGGCAGACAAAGGGGAAGCCCTCAGTGAGTGACCTCCGTGACTCGTGCCTTTCCTCCACCTTTATCTGTCTTTATACCCAGTCACTGCACTAGGTACTAGAGGGCCTGGAGAGATCCTAGAACCAGGTTCTTATCTTCCAGCTACAAGTTGCTTAGAAACCAAAGCAATGGGGGCTGGGGATCTAGCTCAGTGGTTCTGCTGCCTGCCTCACAAGCACAAGGACCTGAGTTCAATCCCTGTATGGAAGAAAGGAAACTGGAGCGATGAGGCAGGCAGAAATAAAAACCTGTGTTACGTTTTAGTACTCACCGGACATGCAATAAGAACATTCCTGCTGTGTTTTTTGTTTGCTTTGCTTTTTGGAGACAGGGTCTCCCTGTGTTGTTCAGGCTGGCTTTGAACTCACTGTGTAGCCCAGGCTGGCCTCAAACTCCTGGTGATTGTCCTGCCTCAGTCTCCCCAGGGCTGGAATTACAGATGTGTGCCACCGCGCCCGAGTTTCCTGCTGTATTTTTAAATTCCAGTGTCTGCCTGATCGACATGCTCTGCACTGTGCTCTTCTGTGTGTGGGGTCAGGCTGGGTGCTGAGGCGGATGCCGAGATAATCAGTGAGTCACGGAGCTCGCAGCTGGGCGGAAATGCAGCTTGCATTGATTTACAAAGCAGACTGGCCAGCTTCTTGCATGGGCCCACAGACAAGCAACACATACTTGCTGAAGACCTCTCCTAGTCAGAGCTGGTGAAGCACCTTTAGGGCTTTCTCCAAGCACTGGGTTGGCACAACTTCCGCCCGGTTCTTACTTCTGGTCCTCACGGGTTTGAGTGGCCTTGATCACTGGTCTTTGACAGCATAAGTGACAATGCCTGATTTGTCCCTACTGGTCCTCTGTGTTCCTGTCTCCTGGCAGGGTCAGCAGACACAAACCATTTCTCATGGCCTCCGTGAACACCGGCATTGGAAGAGGCTGTAAAGAGAGGTCGTTCTCGTTTTCCTCATTTGGGGAAACTGAGGCCCATAAGAGAAACAACCCCTCTGGGGCCTCATGACACAGAACAGGGCTCAGCAGGTCCTGAAGACCTCTGGTTTGCATTCTTGCTCTTGAAGGGGGGAGTCCTGCTGCCCGCTACACATTCCCAGAGAGAAGCTGTCAAGGCTGGGGAAAAAAAGCGAACAAGCTATCTATTCTTGTCTGCGCCCTTTTCCCATGTCAGGAGCAGACTGGGCTGAAAAATTTAGGTTTCCTTTTCATGTTTCCTTTCACTCCACTCAGGACAAAATGCCTTTCTTCTCCCCCTTTTCTTTGGCAGGATCCTGACCAAGGCTATAGAAAAAGAATCTTTCAAGAATGTATCTATCTATGTATCTATCGATAAACATTCAGGCCCCGACAGTGACATGGGACTGTAGTGCTCTTCATTACCCAGGAAGTGACAGGGTCAAGAGGTGCCTGAGAGCCTCCTTGTGGCTCTGCCCCTGGATTCCTGGCCATTGTCACAGCTCTGCAGGCTGGAGTGGACTGCACCACTCCACTGTTCCCATTTCTTCCTCATTTTTTTTTTTAAACTTTAAAAGACTCTGGCATCTTGGGTATTGATTGGAAATTCATAAGAGCCAGAGGTGTTTGGGGTTGGCTGGCCTGTCCTAATTGCCACTTGGATGCTGGGGGAGGAGGTGACCACACTCTGACAGGGCCACCCTTCTGATGGTCCCATTTCCTGAGGACCCTTCCACTTTTTCCCATTGTCTTTGAATAGTCTGGTGGGGAAATGTCACTTGCAAATGTTTTTAATCACCTATGAATAGCCACTGTCTGTCTGCCTTTTGTGATTCCTGGTATTTGAAAGGAGGGAGCTGAGGTTTTGAATCTCCGTCATCATGAACAATGCAAAAGCAGATGAAGGTGTTTCTGCAAACTTTGGTTGAGAGTTTAAGAAAATTCCTGGGAGTGATCCTTCTGTTTTATTGATAAGCTAGAAGCAGGGTGTCAGAGAAAGCTCAGAAGAAGCACACACAGGCTCTCTTGACTGTTTTTGTTTTGTTTTGTTTTAAATGAGGTCTTGCTATGTAGCACAGGCTGGCTTTGAACCTGCAGCAGTCCTCCCTGGTGGTTGGCCTACCTGTGGGGTGGGCGCCACAGAGTATTTTGCTCCTCAACAGCAGTGGAAGGTGGTTACATCTGCAGAGTGGGAAAATGGTCCATTCTTCGTCTGGTAATAGGTTTTATTCTTTCATAATGCTCACAAGTCCAAGTGGATATTAGAAGTTATGCTAACAGCACCAAGCCCTTCAGGTCTTTGTTTCCCAGTGTCCCAGTGTGCAGCGCAGTCTGGACCCTACCAGGGCTGCTGGGAAGGGGTCAGGGGTGTAACATTCTTCTTTTTGGTATGCATAGGAGACCTTGGAAGGTTATGCTCCCAAATCTAATGGCATCAAGCACAAAAAGTATCTGTGATGCCCAAATCTTACTTCCCTCCAGGAAGAATTTTATTTATTTTTTTGCTAAACCTCCCTACTTTTCAGCAAAATGTAAAACATAGCCAGCCTGGATCCGCCAGCCCTCTGGCTCTACACTGGAAGATAGGAAGAACAGAGCGAGGAGTTCTGAGCTTTGGTGTTGCTTTTTCTCTGATCCTGGGCAAAGAACGTTCCTTCTTTAGACTTGATGTCCTCATCTGAGAGATGAGTGGTCAGACTGCTTGACTTCCGCTCAGCTGAGACTCCAAGAGCAGAACCAAGAAACAGGCAGATCTCTGCTTTCTGAATGCTGGTAACAACCGTCAGACTTCAGGTTGGGGACAATGAAGTGTGCGCTACCCTTTGTTATCCAAAAGCATTGACTGCTGAGGGATTGGGATATGGCCTGAAGAAAGTATCACCAAGTTCCTGTCTCCCCGGTCAGACACAATGGTGGATAGATGGGCAGGAAGTAAAGATGTTGGAAAACATTGAACGAGTGCATGCAATAACATGACACGGAAACCCAGATATGAGAGTGTCTTATCACTCTAGGTAATGTTGACTCAACCATTCCTGTACTTCCATGCACGTGTGCATACCCACATGAACAGAGCCATCCGTCCATCCATCCATCCATCCATCCACCCATCATCCACCCTCCATCCATCCACCCATCCATCCATAAATTAATAACATCCCAGTCCATCCATGCATGATGTGGGAGGGAAAGAGGGATGCGTCCCCAAGAAGGAGGTTTGAAAGAAGTACAGGTGGACTCAGAGGAAGGAAGAGAGCACTTCCTGCTGGGGACATCAGAGATGGCTTCATGAGGGAGCTGGCCTTGGGGCCGAGTCTTGATAGATGGGTACTGTGTGAAGAGGAAGGGGCTTTAGGGGAGGCACACGAGCAAAGCCTTTCCAGGGACTGGAAAGTACTGTTCTCATTGGGGAAACATTGAGGAATCCACCAACAAGGTCAACTAAGACTGAAGAAACATTAACCTCGAAGAGCAGGGTGATTATGAACCAATGTTTGGGAGGGGCCTGGAGTAACCATCCGCACCAAAGCATGCGAAGGAGAAGGCGGTCGAGCCGGGAGAGAGGCAGGGCGCGAGTTGACGATGACCAGTGCATTTTGTTGCAGGAAGCCGTGTGTGAATCCAACACGGAA